GCTATATTTTTCTTCTATTTATATTTAATTATCAATTATTTGCTAATAAGAATAGTATCAATTTTTTTTAAATTATCATTTATAAAAAAGATAGCTTTTAGATTTGATTCATCCTCTAGCTTAAAAAAATTATATAATTTATTAAAAGATAAGTTTGCTAACTCCAAAAATTCAACACCATCAAAGTTATGCTATTCATTAAATTTAATCTTTTATTTTAAAAGCAAATTATAAGAAGTTATTAAGAATAAAAATGAATATCACAATCAAATTATTAATAAAATTTAGTTTTTAAAAATGCTTTGAAAACCTAATATTGTTACAATATTCTTAAAAAGTATTACATACTTATTAAAAATTTCAAAAAAAATAATTAAAAAATATTGTTGCAATATTTTACATGTATTTATCGAATTAGTATCACTGTGATCAATATCAAATAAATTAAGTAATTTGAAATATCAGGTCTACTCTCTTACTTTAGATAAATAGTAAGGATTCAATGCAAAATATTTATTTATTTAATAGTAAAATAAAATGTATTAACACGTAGAATTTAACAGTTGTTTTATTTTTTTTCTATGTTTTTGGGTTGCAATACATAAATCTCCACTGCACTCTAAGGTAATTGTATAGTACTCCTATTACCTTTAAATATTTAAAATTAAACCCTTTAATTTTAATTTTGTTTTTTAAAGCCTCCTACTGTTAATTACCATATTATATTATTAATAGAGTTTGCCACATTAGATTAAGAAAAACATAAAAGCTTACGTGGCATAATATGTAAGCTTACATGGCATCTTAGATTTAAGAATGATTGCAACCCTAAACTTATTTTTTATGGAATGATCCCTCTCAACTTTTGAAAATAATATAATATGACTCATGTTGTTAACAATACTTAACTTTAACAATTAGTTAATTAAAAAATGATAGAAAAAAATTTAAAAAAATTATAGAAAAAGACCAATATATTTTTCTTGGTCCTTTTATATAATTTTTAGATTATTGTTTGTAATATATGAGTCCTTTATTGTAATTTTTTATTTTTTTTAAAAATTTTGATGTGCTTTTTTGTTATTTTCTAGGTAACCAATATTTAAAATTAAATTTTTTTAACAGTTGGGTCAAATTGCAACGTTATCAAAAGTTAAGAAAAAATATTATATAAAAAATGAGTTTAAAATTCTAGATATTTTGGGACCTATAATTTAGAGGGTCAATTTGCTCTCTTTTTTTATAGAACAGAAAATGATCAATTTGCTCCTTTATCCAATAATAAAATTATAGTTTTTCTTTTAAATTATGTTAACAGTGAATAATAAAAATAATATCGTTCAACTAAAAAAGTGAGAGCATGTTCACCAAAAAATTAAAAAAATGAGAGGATCATGTGTGTTAACAATGAAAATTATAATTTTCTCCCTCCTTAAATTGTGTTGAAACTCAATAAAAATATTTTTTACAATCAGGAATCATGTATATTTCATTAATTTGATATACCAAACTCTGTTAATAATATAATAGAGTTAATTAACAGTACAGGGCTCTAAAAATAAAATTAACTATTAAAAAATTAATTTAAATATTTAAAATAAAAAAAATGATGTGCAATTGCTTTAAAATTTTAGTCCTTTTATCAAAAAGTAAATTGCATTGGGAAAAGATGACGTGGCCGTTTGGTCATGAGCGTTTAGAAAAAGTCAAAATCGAACCGTTGCCCGTTTGAATTGGCTTCCTTTCTCTCAAGATCTGCTCTGATCTCTTCCCTTTTTTTATTATTATTATTTCTTTACTTCGTACCGTATTGTATCGTCGCAATCAACAAATACCACATCACAAAAAAAATAAAAAAGGTATCAACAAATTCAAGCACGTCCTCGCTACAAAAGAACTTGACAATATATTATCACAGTCAAAGTGGACTCCATATTTTCTACATATTTTGGATTAATAGGATTAATAGCATTTTTGTAAAAAAATTCAAAATCAAACCTTTAATGTTACATTAAATCATATGGTTTTTGTATTCAAAATTTATTTTAAAAAAAGAAATTAAATATAATAAAACAAAATTGAAGGAGGCAAGACCAAGCGAAATGCGAAACTAAGCCGATGATCATGTGGCCTCACTGGCCCTGCAAATTCATTTTGTCTCCACGAAACTTCATGTGGCCAAACCCAAGGCTGAATGAAGACCATGTGATGTTCGGTTCTCTCATAAAATGCAAGAAAATTATTATATAAATGGCAAAGCAGCCCTCCAACTTACATGGCTCACTTAAAAGTTTCCTGATATGAAACTCATAATAACATATTTCTATTTGAGAGTCTACTCACTGTTGTTAAACCCGAAGAAAAAATTCATTCTGAAAAATTAACATATTGGATGGAAAAAATCATTGTTCATTGAGTTCATAAGCCTCACTTTCTAATGTAAGTCTCATACATGTACTAGTTAGAATACTTGCCTATCTAAAAATACAATGAAAATTAATAATCAAACCGCACATGTTAAAGTTTTTTATATAAACTCAATTATAGATTAATTTTATTTTTTAATTTTAAAAATTTCCTTCATCATCACCCTAATATTAAAAACACTTGATATTTATTAGTGAGTCTCACTATTTTAAAATATTTTTTTATTAAATTAAGAGTCATTTTTATTTCTTAACTTTTATTTAAATGATTATTTTTACCCTTCGATTAAAATATTTTATAATAAAAAAATTTAAAAAATGAAGAGCCTATTAACAGTCAACTAATAATAAAAAAATAATAGTGTGATGAAGAAAAAAAATATTTAAAACTAAAGAATAAAATTAATTTATAATTAAATTTAAAAATATTTATGATTTTTTACAAAAAATAAAAATGATGCTTATCCTAATAATTAATATCTATCAGAGATTGTTTCAAAAGAATGCCCATATTGAATGAGTCTGATAACTTGAGGGCCCGTGTCCGTGGAAATTGATTCAAAAGTAGCTCCTTTTTTTGCTGTAACGTAAAGTACGACTCTGTTCATTTCATACTGTCCTTTCAACGTGCCTGCATGATTGAAAAATAATATATATATATATATATACACACACGCACGCACGCACGCACGTTGCGTTTATTCCATGCCTAGGTGCCTAACAATAAATATGAATTATTGGAGTTGCCCACGCCCACCAACGTTAGTTCATTTCATAATGAGGGGACAAAATTCCACACCTCACAAACTCAAAAGATGCATGTGAATTTGTCTCCTCCTACAATTAATATTATAACTTCATTTGTAAACCAATAAAAATTAATTTAATTAATAAAAATTTAATTCATAACTTATAAAGTCATATGTCTTAATCCTAATAAATCTTCAAGATCCAACTCGCTAGGCACCACTGAGATCTAACTTTTTTTAAAAAAGGAAAGTTAGGAATCATGTTTTTATTTTGACCACTTAATAACTTGTGTCATTGACATTGTGTACGCTTTTAGGTGGAATATAAATTGCGATCGCGTCCTGATTCAATTTAATAGCATTTTTTTTTTATTGTTATCATTTTCTATTTAGTTTGGACAGAATTGGGACAGAAAACTGTAGATAGTTCTATGGACTCGAACACGTGGTCGTGGAAAAGTTCTGTAAGAATAGGGACACCGCCAGGAACATGGCAAGCGAAAATATAATTGGAAAATCAGCCATATTTTAGCTGGTTTACACATCTCTTAGCTTCATTAATTGTTTTAAATGAATACTTTATGAATAGCTTCATTCATTGTGTTAAGCCAGTTCGCACACCCATTAGCTTCATACTTTATCCAACTTTTTCCAGTGCTTAAAAATGAGAAGATCATGTTTGTTGATGATAAGTTTTGTATCCCAAACCGGAACAAGGAGAGCTAGGGACTAGGGAGGTTTTGATGAAATCATTTGTGTCACTAATTTTGGTGAGAAGCCACTTCTAATGCTGACAATTTGGGCTATCAATTTGGATGGAAGATCATCACCTTGCAGGGGCTTGGAGGCAATAAACTCGATGGGTAAGAGCAAGGCTTCTAATTATGCGATCACAAAGACTTGGTATCATGATGAGGATAATATGAGAAACGTAAGCAATTAAATGAACAATTGTCAATAATTGGACACATTTTTCTTCTGTTAGATTTCTAATTGGCACGGCAATCTTTGATCCTGTGAAAAACGGTAGATTCTGATAAACAAGTTGTCTTCAAGGATGTTGGTCATATTATGAGCTTCTTTCGTTAGCCACTCTGTACAATCATTTACATTTCTACTGATATAATTATAGTTTATTTCCCAATCACGCATGATTAAACTTCCATGTCTTCAGAAGTTTTGAAAGCCAGGTGACCCCTGATATAAAGATTGGATTTATCATGAATGGCTTCAACAGAGCCAGAGAACACATAAACCTGCCCGAACCCTTTAGCCAAGCAAATCTCCAATCGAGTCAAGACTGATTAATGTTCAAAACGCTTGGGTCTCATGTGATTACTAAAAAAAATGAAAATGAAATGGATTAAAAAATCAAAACAAAAAGTTAACTAAAACACCCTTTCTCTCCATGACAAGCATAATAAAACTTAATACTATATGACACAAATGTAAGAATTATTATACTCTCTAAAAACTTTATGAATTATAATTCCTAACCACATGAACTAAATTATCCTTTTTCCTTATAAATATGGTCGACTTTACATCTTAATCATTTTATTTTTACTTTTATTTTTTCACTTCATTCCTTTTTAACAACCACCAAACAGAACCTTGAACTCTTCATATGGTAAGCCAAGGCATTTAGTGGTGACTTTTCTTTATCACCACCTAATCGTTATTAAAACATGTCTCTGATTTTACAACTTTGCTCAATACACGAGTGTAGCTAAAAGAATTTTACTTGCAGCTTTTCATCATCGAAGTACACCACGACACCCTCACTTCTGACGCCTAGAAGCCGACAGCTTAAGATAAGAGTAAATTGGAAATAATTTATCCCATGCATTTCCCTCAAAAATTCAGTTTATTCTGCATTGATTGTTACCTGTACATGACTGCTATCTGTACACTGGGAATAATGATGCTATACAAATCATGGCTAACTAAGATAGTGGTTTTATCATACATAACCTGGCAGCTTGCTGAGATAGGAGCGTCTTAAGAAGGAAATATCACTACATATTGCAAACCATGGAGCATTATAAAAGGTATGAGCATTCTGGAGTGCAAAACCATGGAGGTAAGGCAATGGAAATCCTCCCCTTAATAGCAAGTTCACAAATGGTAACAAGGCGGTTCTAAGTATAGTTGACATTACTACCTGCATAAATTTTAGAAAATTGAAGTCAGGGTGAAAATTATCTGCCCAAAAGTAAATAATTAATGATCATGAATTTAAAACCAGAAATCTGAAAGACTAATCTCTACACATCCTCACAAGTATATATGCAGAAGCATAAATCAATTGTTTTGTAGACATGAAGGGGCATGCATGCTTGACAAGATAATCTTGCACGTGAATCATCTGCTCAATGGATGTTGTGAATAGTAGATTACATCAGCATTGTTCATGGACCTTTACTCAATAATGTAAACTTTTCAGTTTGATTGATTCTTGAATGATGCTTGATAGCTAGTAGGGCAAGGTTCTATGCGGCTGTTGGTTACGATCAATACTAAAGCTTGATCCTTGCGCCCTATTGAAAGCCCAAAGGACGCTCGTATATGCAGGCATTCCAAATGTTACATTAAAACTGTTCATGGGCATTCTTCCTACTTCCTGATATGTTGAAGCAATGATAGTAAAGGCTCGGAAGGGTGAATGAATTAAATTTGAAGCATGGACTAGTTTGATTGGTGTCCCGCAATAGTTCCAAAACTACAAAAATATTGTTTCATAAAAGTTCATTGTCACCTTGCTTTCTGTACAAATATAAAGCTGTAAGCTGAAAAGATACTGGAAAAATGAAGATGACGTTTATTCAGATTTACCTGGATCAGATGCATGTGCAAAGGACCTATCTTGCTCCATTTTAAGTATGTGGAAAAATCATTCAATCTGAGACTACCAGCAATGTTGTTTCGGAGGATTTCTGCAGAACATGAGGCACTAACCTCCTGTATCAATAAGAAAAAACACGTAGACTGAGAACACCTCAATGATGGTGATAATAGATTCACGATAAAAATTTAGCCAACAAAAAAATAATTCAACATTAACCAAAGGATCCTGGGCATGCAGAGATGGAAAAGAACGCAAGCAGTTTTGAAAATTCAGCATAAGTCTATAAAGTAGTCATGCATATAAGAATATAAAGACAAAATGAGTGAAAAGAATCAATGCCGTATAGCTGCTTAAAGAGCATAAGCTTCCCATACTTTAACATTCTAGCTAAGAATCTTGGCTCCCATTTCTGAACTTCAATTCATAGAAGATATTGTTCTTGAGCCTTCACTTTAATTGTATCTTTCAGTTTCAACACAAGGCGTAGTAGATCTGAGCTTTAGTATGCACTTCAAGGCTCAAGTCCAATAGATTTTATGGGCACGGGAGTGTGTTAGATGTTATAATAAATTCATTTAATAGTCCTCACTGTATAGCTTAATTTTTTTAGTCAAGGCGTTTTTGACACTTCAGTCAAGCATACCATTGAGATACATGCAACTTCACCAGCATTCTCAACATTGACAATTATATCTACAAAAATGGTAGCGCTGATATCTTGGTTGGTCACTTTTATAGTTGGTGGAGATGATACTGAGATATTAAGCTCCATGTCCTTATTTGGATATTTCTCGTATAGTTGAGGAACTAAGAATCTCCATGCAGCTGTGTTCAAAAGGGCTTGATCTGGTAGTTTATCAACCATCCATTGCATATAACCTGCCTGTGGGTAACAAGACCATCAGTGAACTATCAAACTATAATACAGTCCATAACAACGTAGAAGCATCCAGTGATCAAATGTAGAAGCCCCAATGTAAATGTGAGTCGATTAATTGGAATAATTTAACTAGTATCTAACAACAGATTAGCTCTATCCTTGTTGTTGCTATAAAGAACTCTATCGATGATATAGGGAAGTTCTAAAGTCCAAGGTTGATTTCAACAACAACAAAGCAATTAAGGGTTATGGAATTATGGTCAAGTCCAAGTCATGATCTGCCACTTAATTCCATTCAATTACATTCTGAACTCCCAAGCACTTCTTAAGTGCTTGTTCAGGAGGTTGGGGTGGGAAATTACCCAAACAATTGCTTGGATTCTAAAACGTAACAAGGCTTTCACAAGTTGTGACTGACCTTCATGAGAAAAAGAACAGTAACATATGTATGAAAATGATAGGGCCATGTAAATGGTCAGGTTAAATGGTTGTTTTGGTTGATTCAAATCAAGCATATATAAAAATGTTCTTTTGAATTCTTCAGATGAAGTCAAAGGCTTAGCAAAAACAAGCTAATGCATCGCAAGCAATCTTTCTTCATATGATAAGCAACAGTTAATCAGAAGCTATTATAAATAAACTAGATCTTAGTCCTAAATATTGCATGAAGCCTGAGGCTAGTAACCCAATTATTCACAGCTCTATGAACAGTGCAACTTCCAATAGTTTAGGTACATTGATATTGATGAGAGCTGAAAAAGACCCAAAAGGCCAAAACAACAACACACTGGAATAATTGGACTAGGACATGAAAGTATAAGAATATAAGCTTTCTGAAACTTACATTGAAGTAAACCAAGGAAGCAGAATTTAACACATTTTCATGCACTGAAATCTTGATCATCTTAGACAAACCCCCGCAGGAAAAGGAAGTCTCTGGTTCCCTGTGGCAACCTTGAGGAATTAAAATTTCATTTTCCTTTGTGAATAGACCATTGATTTCAAACTCAATAGAAGAATTAGTCAACACAGGATTGTTCACGTAAGAAACATTTAGTACAGCAGTTTTGCCCAGTGATATTTCTTTTGGCAGGGACTGCAATGAACTGCTAAGCTTTGATATTCCTTCCCTTATTTTTCCAGAAATGGCATCTTCAACAGCAGATGCTATTTTCCCTTCAAAAAGATCAGCTATCCTGGGGGAAAAAATATAAAGAAATTAATGGCATGTTATTCTCAAGTTGTTGATTATATTGAGAGCAGCACGCGAACCACATTCATACTAGCATAGAAGGAAAATCATAGTACGATGTGAACATTGTCTGAAAGGAAGAACTTGTTCAATAATAACAAATAACAATCTACTTGAAAGAAGTCAATAAAGGAAATTAATGGTGACCATATGCTTATAGGAACAGATGAAATCCAAATTTCAATGAAGCCTTTGTCAACAAATGCATTTTCTGTTTTATGCTTTAAAAGCAATGCAGAGTTCCTTCAACTTTGTTCCATTTAATATTTTGTTTCATTTGATTGAAAAGTCAAGTGACATGCATCTAGCAAATATAGCTCCGCATTTTCACAACATATGAAGTTAGCAAACACATTTTTCATGCCAGTGGCCATGTGCCACAACGGTAAAAACAGCCCACTCGAAATAGGGAAGTTGCAAGTTCTACCTTGAATGGGCACACCCCTTGTGGGTTGTCGTGTTTCCTCCCCTATGGAGGAGGGGTGCTTTCAAATTGTCCCCTTAAAAAAAAAGAAAAAGAAAAAAAGCGAACACATTTTTCACAGTAACATGGGAAAGACCAATTCCCAATAAATGAGGCATTTAGAAGGAATATGTTAAGATAATATGGCTTAAGAAGCCTGCTTACCTTTGGTAAAGCCAAGATGCTCCACCATGCAACCTTATGGACAAGTCTCCCACAAAACATCCATAATCTAATAGAATCAGCTTCAGACTACCTTCTTGGTTCTCAAAATTCAAAGTCATCCCCGCTTGCATTCCTTTAACCTTCAAAACATTGCACAACTCAGTGAGAAATATCTTCAGTTTACCTAAAAAGACGAAAATAAAGCACAAACACACCAACTGTTCACAGGTTTTTGCCAGTCAGATGCTGACAAGCATCAGTTTTATGGTTTTTGGACTAAGAACCACATTTGTTTTTCTGCTCCCCTTTATCAATTTATTGAATCACCACTTAAAAGGTTCAAATGTGTTTCAACAAAACCCATCCTGAATTCACGTGCTATGTATCAATGGTTTCCAATCCACATCTTTCATACATGAAACGGTTAAAACATATGAAGTGGCTTTGTATTATCAATATAACCAACTTTCGCAAAACATTTGTTATTTTTTTCAGGTTCAACCCTGATGGACGCTAAACGATGAAGTCAGATGAGAACCCTCAGCAACTGTCCAGGTAGAAGGGGGGTAAAAACATAATATATGTAGTTTTGATTTTCAAAACACAACACACATACACACATCACAAACCAAACTTTTTACCTCCACAAAGGCGTCACCACTATCAGAAACAGAAACAGGCAATAACCAAGTGCTGCAAGAATAACTCCAGTTCATACTCAAATTAGCTGTTCCACCAGAAGCAATTAGAACTATTCCCTTCTCTCCAGTCCTAACGTATGAAGAAGTTATGTTGACATCAACAAAAGTGATATTGGAAAGAACTATTTTACATTCACCAACGAGTCTGACTGTGGCCGACTTCTCAATTTGCGGCAGTTGAAGTGCAACAATAGAGGACATAGCTTCATGGATCAGCAAATCTTTGGCATAATCAAGACCCTTTTCAGATATGGCCCCAAAGATTAAACCCTCTTCTTCATTAAGTTGAAGAGAAACACTTGCTGGAATCAATAGAAGAAGTAAAGAAACGACGAATACGTTTGGTGCCATCATGCCGGAAACTTTTGAAGAATCTTTAGAAGTAACAACAGAGCCGCATGAAATTAGGAACTGGTGAAAGCACGGTTTTGTGATGCAATTATTCAACGAAAGATAGAAACTTTGAGACACCCATATAGTGAACTACCAACGGAAGCTGTCGAATTTCAGCGGAGGTTTCTTCTGCCTACTAGTCTCTCTAGGAGCAGAGATATTTTGGGTTTTTAACAGTTAACTGTGGATTGTCAAGAGTAGAGATTGAGCACAGGGCCCTCGAGGTCTTAATATTCATTTACGGTTCAGACTTTCAGTATCTTCTTTCTCCCTCTTTGCATTAGGATCGCATGATTTCAGAATATTCGCATCCCTCGACTGATTAGTCGCTGGATTGGACTCTTGACAGTAAACCTGCTCCTAATTCGTCATGTCACTTCAACCAGCAAGGCTGCAACCATAACACTTGGTTGCAGCGCATGTTATGGTTGCAGCGCATTGCGGTACAACTTGGCCATAAGTTTATATTTTTTTTAATAGATTAAATGATAAATTTAACACAAAACTATATGTACAAGAACTTCCAACAACTGAACTCCTTTTTTGGTGTAAAAATGGAAGTTCTTTTGATAGGAATAAAGGTTGCAACGAAATGCAGACTTGGTTGTGAAGCCAAAAAGGCAACAACTGAACTCTAAAGTTGATTTTTTGCAATATCCTCTTTCAAACATTTCAAGATAATATAATATTAATGCATCATTAATAAATGTTAGCCCTAACTATTTGTTGTTAAAAAAATACATAAAATATTAAAAATTATTTTAAAAAATAAAAAATTACAGCAGATGATTAAAAAAATTATATTTATTAACTAACAGTCCTTTTCTTTAATTTCATTAGTCATTTTTTGTCATTTTTAATATCATTTTTTGAAATTTTTTATTAACTAACCATTAAAGTTAATATTTGTTAATGATAATAGTGATATTATATTGCTTTGAAATGTTGAGGGAGAATATTGTATAAAAAATATTGTATTATATGTTGTTTTAGGGATGCAAATAAAATATTCAAAATCCTAATGGAGAGTTATCGTTCAGCATTTGCCTCTTGCTAGCTAGCCACGGATAGCTACTATGTGATTTTGTGTAGTTCATTTTTGAGAAAAGAAGAGTACCGTTCGCTATAGTCGCCAATCACTAATGTTGTCATTTTATTATATTTTTTTCCCAAATCTGTCAACAAATTACATATATAAATGTCTACTGATTTCAATTTAGTCGTCAATCGCTAATGTGGTCTTTTCATTCTAATTTCCTCCAAAATATGTCACCAAATTATATATTACGGTCTATTGACCATTAAGTTTGGCTTTAAATTTGGATGGAATGAAAAGAAAGGTATTATTGGAAATTTTGATGATTAAAGGAATAAATAAATGGGGAAGGTCTACAGAGGACCTAATTGAAAGCCCACGTGTTACTCAAGACTTCAAAAGCATTTTTTTCCTCCTGAATAGTACATTCAAGATTCATTCCCCTTGATATTTACAATTGAGAACCTTGAAAATGAAATTATGCTCTAAGAGTCATAGAAGTAAGTTACCATTAATATTTAAAAAATAATAATAAAATTTTTTTAAATTATATAAATGACAATCTGATATTTTAAAATATTATAATTTTATTAAAATTTTTAAAGACTTTTGCTCAATAAATTTTAAAGTGAAAAGATTATTTTATCCTTGTTAAAAATAACAAACTCCAATCATAACTTTTGCATAAAAAATGATAATTTTTGTTCTGTAAATCATAAGCAATTACAACTTATCAAATGTAACTTCTATTATTAAAAAACAAGTTTTGAAAATAACATGTAACAATTACAACTTTTATTTAAGGAATAACTTTTATTCAAAGAATTTCAAGAATTGAATAAAAAAATCACAATTTGTCAAAGGGTAAAATATTTTTTTAAATTTAAATTTATTGATACAAAAGTGCCCAGAGACTTTAATAAAATTATGATATTTTGAAGAATCGAATTATCATTTATATAATTTGGGATATTTTATTATCATTTTTCTTTAATATTTCCTCCAGTCATATTCTCTAGCATCTTTGCTTTCCTTACGTCAAAATGGTGTGGCCATGTAGGGGTCATAATAAATACTCTCTTCAGTTTCAAATGTATGAGCCAGTTAACTAATTCATATAGATTTAAAAATGAGTTAAGTTAATGTGTGCCGATTTTCTTAAAATGACCTTCCTTTTTAATCATTTGCATTGGGTATTATTAAAAAAGCAAAAGCTTATATATCATACACGAATTGGGGGACAGAGATTGCTATCTTACATTTATTTGGTTCATATATTTAGAACATGGGGGAGTATAACACTCTTGTAATATTGAGAAACATGAATATGTAAAGCATGAATGTTAAATTTTTGAGAGTATGAGATGAGCCCTCAAGTGCCATTTTTCCAGAAAGTTCACATCCTCTCCGTTTCTATCCTTTTTTTTTTTTTTTTAATGAATGCAAATGGCAGGTGGAAATCTCCAAGGCACCAATGGTTATTCAAGCAGCAGACGTCCTAGGTGATATCAATGATTTTTGAACAATACTATGAGTCTTGGATCTCTAATCTCTTAAATTGATCAATGAATAATTTCGGTGTTGCCTGCGTGCTATGGTATCAGAAACCAGAATCATGTTGTCTCAATTCTGCTAAGATTGATGGAAAGTTGTCGTGATTGACTGGGGATTCATTTAGGTCTTGAGAGGACTGGCTTGTTGGCTTTAGTTCGGACCCATATCGTGGCTGATCAATTTGGCCTTAGGGCTGTGCGACATCGTGAAATTTGAAAATTAACTTAACAAATTAAAGAAAAAAATGATAATAAAATCTCTTCAAAATATATAAATAATAATTTGATTCCTTAACATGTTATAATTTTTTTAAAATTTTTATGAACTTTTTTTATCATTAATAAATTTATATAAATTACCAAATTATCTTATTAAAAATAAATAATTCACAACTTTCCTTCTTAAATTCATAATGATGCAACAGAAAATCATAACTTCGCATGTTAAGTTTTTTATTTGTTGTTGCATTGTTACAAATATAAGAAAAAAAAGTTGTGAATCATTTATTTTTAACAAGGGTAATTTGATAATTTACATAAGTTCATTAATGACAAAAAAGTTTTCAAAGACTTTAAAAAAATTATGACATTTTGAGAGATTAAATTGTCATTTATATATTTCAGAAAGATTTTACTGTCATTTTTCCATCAAAAAACCTACTACGATTGACATTTATCATAGACATGCACTCTCTTGTGGAGGTTCTTACATGGCCCTCAGATCCTCCTGTAAGGGTGTTCAACTTGTACCTGTTTCGATTGGTCCAGTATCATTTCAATTATATTGGGACGAATCTCATCCCGTCCTGAAGACAATTATGATAGGACTTTGCGGAACTGGACAGAAAAGGGGTTCGGGACAAGACAAGATATGGAATTACCATTGGGACATCTCATCCTGTCCCAAATATTATATATATTATTTTTATTTTAAAAATATACATTAAATATATATAATTTATACTTATATTAATTATATCAATTATAATTTCAATACTAGTAATTTTTATTTAAAATTAAATTTTTTATATTGATAATTTTAATGACATAAAGGAAACATGGTAATACTTTTTTTTATAATATATTAATTATATTGATACAATTTATTCTTATATCTATCTATTTAATAACTTTTATTTATATCATATTTCTTGTTTTATTTTTGAAAGAGTAATTAGGTTAGCACATTTCAACTAAAATAGAAGAATAATGATTTGATGTTGTGCTTAGCTTGCTTGTTATTGTTGCTCTTACAACTTAAAGATTACTTGTAATTGCTATTATAATGTATAGTTGTGATTAATATAATTCAATAATTTGACTTAAAATTAATATAATTTATGTTATTTTAATTTTAAACTTAATAAATTATATAATTTAAAATTTTAATAAATATTATTATTCATATCTTTCTTCGACATTATTTGATTTATCGAGATAGCAGGACGTCCCGATCACATCTCAATCCCGTCCCGATTTCTAAAGGAATAGGATGATTTTTGGGACGGAATGAGATATAGGATAAAAATTCAATCTCGATCTTTTACTCGAGATAGAACACGAGACAGGAGTGTCTCGATTTCATCTCGTCCTGTGAATATCTCTACCCTTCCCTCATCCCTTTTTTCCTTTTCTTTTTACCATCCTCATCTCCACCCTTGAATAATAAAATAAATGGTTCAGATTTTTTATTTTATAAAATAATTATCATGTTATCATATAAAAGTAAAAATAAATTTAAATTGTTGAAATTTAACCTGCACATTTTATGATTGTATAGTGTTATTAATTTTTTTATAAATTAAAATTTTTTATTTATTTTATTCCAGTTATAAACTATGTAGAATAAATTTTAATAGTTTAAAATTATTTATTTTTTTTAATATAATATTATGATGATTATTTTATAAAATAATTGAATTTGAGCCATTTATTTTTTTTTTAATCAAAGGTGAAGATGGGGTGAGAAGAAGAAAAGGAGGGAAAGGATGAGAAGAGGATCTCCTTCCCTTCTTACAGAACTATGAAAGGAGAGGCATGTCCGTCTTCGCAACACGGTTTTGACAACATGTCGTGTCACGTTTCAGTACGAAAGGGTTGAAGAGATCTGGGACGTGTTCATTTTCTATTTTTAAAAAATTGTTTCATGTTTTCAAAAAAAAAATGGAAAAAACGCAACTTTTATCCTTGCATTTCATACATGATTTGTTACTAATTTTTATATTTTATTTTTAGTGTTCTAAGTTTTTATAGTTTTTTTCGTCTACATTTTAAGTCCCGACACTTTAAGAGGTGTTAACATGATATTAATGGTGTTAATTATACTGATATGAATAATAATATCATTAATTATATAATGATGTGTCAGTTAGTGACTGATGTGCATTTTTTTTTTTAGAAAAAGAAAGAAAGAAAAGCTTATGTGTATTTCCTCTGATTCTTATTATAAAATATTTTTAATCGTTTCATACATTTAAAAAAAAATTATCTTTTCTCGATATCATAAAAAAATTATATATACTTTTATTTTTATCCATGACTTTAAATAATGATACAACTATATTAAATACATTCATGTTAACCAACATAGTGTAAAATTGAAAAAAAGTATTTTAATTATTACAAAGTGTTTCATATTTTAGACCAAAAATTTCTTTTAAAATATGCTCTATAAATAGGACTTGAGAGACTATTTTTTCTAATAATCAGAAAGTGAAAAAAATTTGTTGTAACTCTAAACCTGAATAATATATTTTATATACATTAAAAAATAATAAACTATCCCAAACCTGACTTTGGAGCACAAAATAATAGGAAAAATACCCTAAAGGCCTGAAGCATATAATTGCAGCAAATCTAAAAAATGGACATGCGATGTTTTCTTGTAGCCTTAAATCCTACTTTTATATATATAATAATTATTAAAAATATACATAAGTTTTTTTTTTCTTTTTTCCCCCAAAAAAATATACATTAACCACTAACCGACACGTCATTATATAATTAATAGTGTTATTATACACATCAACATAATTAATATCATCAATGCCACGTCAGCACCTCTTTGAAAGTATAGGGACCTAAAGTGTAAACAAAAAAAAAATGTAAGGACTTCAAACATTAAAAATAAAGTGTACAATTAATAACAAATCATGTATAACAGAGACTGAAAGTTATGATTTTTAAAAAAAATATTAAAAAAAATCATTTCACCGAGTGTTTTAAATTTAAATGTTTTTTTAAAATCATTCTCACTTTTTATTTTCAATAATAAAAAAAAATGGAAACAACTTAAGAGTGATTTTTTTTAATTTTTTAAAACACATTACATTTAACAATTATAAATCACTTATAATTATGGCCAACCATTACCATAAACTATTATTATTAATTCCCATCAACCACTACTGGTGGTCTTTTTTCAACGCTAAAATTATTTTTAAATTAACAAAACCAAATGTGTTTTTATTTTTTATTTTTGAAAAACAATTTTCAAAAATTGGTTTGCAAAACACTTTTTGAAAACCAAAAAAAGATAACAAAACCAAACAACTAAAAAACTCAAATTCTTAGAGCCAGAATACTAAATAAAAGATTACTTAAGCTTTTTCATTTGCCAAGACCTATACAAAATACACGACCCTTGAGGTCAACTCACTCACTCAGATAAATTTCAAATTAGGAGTGCTGTAATCAAATGTTCAGAAAGGATAACACCAGAAGGTAGAACTATATATAGAGAGCTCACTTTCCCTCTTAATACTTATCTGTTTTTCTCTCTCTCTGGTTGCATTTTACGCAGCCAATTTGTGATCGCAGGAGATCCAAATTCCCCCCAAAAAAATCCTGATGAAAATGTTAACGTTTGAAAAGCACAACTACCCTTGAATGTCGTGAAACATCCTCTGCTATAATGGTTGATATTCCAAAAACCTTTACAAGCTATACAAAATTTGACAGGTAAACAAATAACTTCAGTTAGAAGATGACTAGATAGTTCCTCTGATCTTTTGTGCCTTGTGGGGTAATTATCCGTGTCTATTAACATCATTTCACTTCTTTGAGTAGGTAAGATATGGATCTTGAGCAATGGTCAATACATCTGGTCTCTCAGCCTGGTTATATGTCAGACATCGCCGAATAAAATCCTGACAAAAATATAAATCATACACGTTATTGCAAGTTTTGGTTACTGAAGAATGGAACTGAATTTAACACGGTTATCACTTATCAGATGCTGAATCACACTATTGTTCTATACCTAAAACTAGGAAACTGAATGTAAACGAAATGTCAGGAGAGAAAGCATTACTGAAATTTTGTAATTTACAATCGAACAGGTTTGAAATTGGAGCAATGTGACTTTTTTACACTAGAAGAAAATTAGAACAAAGTCCCAAGATACTTTGTTATAGTTTTGCAGATTCGCAAGGACTTATTTATAGATAAGTCTTTTATTTGCAACTTATGCATAATTCTTCCCGAAGATTAAATAAATAAATGGCGGTAATAACAAGAGAATTACCAGAAAGGTAGTTATTAAATATGGAAACACTCACCTTTGCCTCAGTAGAAACTGTAGGTCTAGAAGGGAATTCAACCTTGCGAGCCTTTATAATTGTATCTTCACGTAGGATACGCTCTTGAGTTTGGTCATGGCCAAATGGACGTCTTCCAAAGAGCATTTGATAGAACAAAACACCAGCCGACCACACATCAACCTGCTTTCAAAAAGAGAAAAGTCAGGGTGGCATAAAACCAGTTTTTTTTTTTTTTGGAGGGGCTTATGTAGCTGCAATTTCTAAGATGTATTGACCTTCGACGATATAAGAGGTGTCCTACTGAGCTCAAAGCATTCAGGAGGCAAATACCTGCAAGTTTAAATAAATAAAAAGAAAAACAGTAAGAGACTCATCCCAAGCCTGGATACCATTTTAAAAAAAAGAGCCAGCAAATTTCAATGCATTATGGAAATGGGTATAGATGCATTGTTTTATTTTATTTAATAAAAAATTAAAAAACGGATTGAAATTACAGATGCATTGTTTTACAAATACATACACTAGATCACAATAAGTGACACATGCACACAAGATAAATGATCCTCCGTCTATCTTTGCATAAAGACAACCGTGCGTTCAAAGTTCTTTACATGATTGATGCAGCTGAATACACTGAAAACATTCATCAACTTCTCCAACGATAGCAATGGCAAAGTCTGCTTCATAACAGACTTTACAACAAAACTTTCAGCCATTTCACGCATTTGAGGGTGTGGGTGCGTGGGTGGGTGAGTGTTTTTTTTTTTTTTTGGTTGGGGGGCTATATATAGGGAGAATGAGCACACGTGTAACTGTCAAGGAGATCTAGCTCGCCAAGTTATAAAGTTTGTGCAAGACAACGTAGATACCGTATAAGCTTGCCCAAATAGACCGCAAGGCAAAAAGGCTTAAACTAGAAGATTAGACCCCCCCCTCCTTCTTCTGTTACCAGGATAGAGGCTAGAACTGGTCGGCCAGGAATGTTATCAACAACTTTGATACTAATCCAACAGATCTAAAACTTTGTGAAACAAAAACCAATCACTGCTATCCCCAAAGTTAGATTCTCACAAAGAAAGTGCCTCTGATTAGTTCCAACAACCAAGTAAATTGCTGAATTTAACACGACTCGCACAAGGTGGGTGACAAGAGTTATGCACGCAGAAGGGTGTAACCATCGAATTTGTATACCAATAACAATGATCTCTCCATCACTTACCAGTAAGTTCCAGCACCCTGAGATGTTAGTTCCATACCCTGAGATCCCACATCATCCTCCACTATTTTGCTGAGACCAAAATCAGTCACTTTGGCAATGCCAAGCTCATCAAACAAAACATTTCCAGGCTTCAAATCATAATGAATAATCTTCTGCGTTCTTTTATTCAAGTAAACGAGGCCTTGAAAAACCTGAACTAGAATTACCCTTGCCTCTCTCTCAGGCAATATAGGTGTTGCCTTAAGGACAGCATCAAGATCCTTCCCTGAGTCAAAAGAAGCAATATATTAATGAAACTTATCAGGTCAGAAGTGGTATATATGTTCTGTAGCTTCGCCTCAAAATGAATAAAATAATGCACAATGGTTAAGTGTACATACCACTACAGTACTCTAAAACGGTGCAGAATGTATTGTGATCTATCTCAAAGATGTCCCACAAACGAACAATGTGATGATGCACCAGGGTTTTGTGGATATTGTACTCCCTAATTGCATGCCGAATGTAACTCTGCTTCTTCTCTTCACTCCATTGAGCATTTAAACCATGAAGCTTACATGCAACATATCTATGCTCCACCAAGTCAAAAGCCTGCTGGAAATTTCTTATTTCAAATCACTCCAAAAAGTTATAAATTTAGAACTGCCAGTGCAGGCAGAGAACGGGTCTATATTTTTGCTTTACAAGCTTGAAACCTCGTTCAGGATATGCTGAAAATAATATAATTAAATGATATTGTAGAAATTCAGAGTTTCATTTTTCTCTGACCTTGTGTTATTACATGGAAGCAACACTACATCAGTATAAACATACAAGTAGCAGGGAGCCAGTATTATAGTTAAGGAGCCAGCTCACGGCATCTTGGCTGCTGGTTTTTTATTTTTTATTTTTTCAAAAATCTGTAGCCTGCAGGGTCTTCTCACCCGGACCAACAACCACCCCCCTTTCAATTCGTTGGGGGGGGTATAGCTATTTCAAATTAATGTATTGATATAGCAGTTTGAATATCAATAAATTAATAAATTTAAATTTATATATAAACATTTATTCATCTTTAACTTAATATATTAAATATATTAGTATATATTATTTTTAAATTTGTTTATTTAGTGAATATATAATTTTTTATTAATTTTTGTTACAACATTTTTTTCATTATTGATTTAATAGCTAGTAAATTTTATGCAGATATTATTTTTTAAATTTGAACTTCCACTTTTTATAATTATTTTGGTTTTGGGAAGCCCCATGCATGGCACGCCGGGGTCTTTTCTAGTTTATAGACATCTATTGACAATAAAAGCGAGAGCTGACTCTAACTAAAATAACTTCACTGATCATGATTAAAAAAAAAAAACACTTCATCTAACCTTATTCTAATTAAAACAGATTAACAGAATTACAGAACACTAAAGATAATCATAAATTCATAAAATTCTAATTATAACAGAACACTAATCATAAATTCATAAAATTGCTGTCTAAAACTAGCTAAAAGTAAATAAGCCTCAAATAATATTTTTTAACAAAGTTAACTGAAATTTTCAACAGTCTCCCTCAAGGTCAATATTTCGGCTTGGAGCTTTTCTTCAAGCATCCCCAATCATATTCTTCAAGACCAAGTCATGCTTGAGCTGCAATAGTTTCCTTGTTGATACCATTGACTCCTTTGTTGGTAGTCAGTTAGGTTGTAAGCACCACAGGCCACCATAGCATATGGCTCAGCTGTTTAGATAGGTGATTCTTTTCCTACTTCCCCCATACCTCACTTTTGCGAGATACATTGAATGACGCGAGAGTTTTGTTTCAGCCAATTCTGCTCATTGGCTGGGCAATTTCACAGGCTATCTGCCCCTTTTTGGTGTCAAGTGTCCACACTTGCCCATATTTTGTCACTTAGACCTAGAAAGTTTTGATGTTATCTATCAATTCAGGGTTTAATTTTCCTTTGAACTCGTTTTATTATAATGAAGTAATGTTACACTTGTAGATAAAGGCAGGGCTAACTCCAACACTAACTAAAAGACATAACTCCCATAAATAAGATAACTTTGTCTTAATCCAAATGGGATAACTCCTGATCAAAACAAAACACCTTAGCTAATTCTAAGCACATAGGAGTTATTAAAAAAAAAAACTAAAAATCAGATCAGCCTTAGTTAAAACAAAGCAAATAGCAAAGCTTAATTAAATTCAACATTAACTTCCAACAAATATGATATATATTATTTTACTTGATAATACTTCTGACCTTGTAAACCTCACTGAATCCCCCCTTTCCAAGAAGATTTAACAGAGCATATCGATGGCTCAGAATCTGAAAGTTGTTAAATCGTGAACCATCCTCATCTCGTATGCGCTTCATCTCACGTATTAGCCTTCCCTTTTCTAGTTCATAACGATCCCTCTCCCGCATAATAACTTCTTCTTCCTGAAAATATTTAGGCTATTAGAAATATTAGAGAGAAGGAAACAATCAGAAAATAAGTAGCAACATACACGTTTAATGCTAGCTAGTCGAGACTTGTAGATTTCATCCTGAATGATAACTTCATCTTCTTGTAATCCAGTATCTGCATCTGTTCCCTCACCTTTATCTACATCATATAATATAATCATCACAATCCAGAAAAATAAGGCCAACAAGTGCAATTATAATTCAGAAAATGAACAAGGTGAGAAAACAAATATTGCATGATATCTAGCATCAACAAGATTGAAACATATATTTGCAAGTTCCAAAAAGCCACCTTAAGGAGCAGATGGCTATCAAGGTTTGCTTACAATCAGTAGAGTTCAATTAATCAAGGCATTCAAAAGTAAAAATAAACCAGGCAGAGAAACAAGCAGAGGTAATCAATGTCCAAATTTATAAATATACATGAATGTCCTTACTGAAAACTGGAGTAAAACAAGAGCTAGAAACAAGTTGTGGGGACAAGGAAAAAAGAAACAAAATGTCCCCAAAGACATTGCAATGTTGGCTCATTCAACCCTGATATTTTAGGGATGTAAATGTTAGAATTAAAAAGGAAATATAATGGAAATAAGATATCTAAAATTTGTATTGATGTTATTACCAGATTGTTTTTTCTTCAACAACTTGCGCTGCCGCTCAATAGCCTCTTTCGTTTCTATCAATTGTTTCTGGCAGGGGGGAATAAAGAATCAGATTTATAAATATTACCTACAAATGCAACAGCAGCAAAAATGTACGAGCTTCCTGAGCTTTATAACATATGGCAAGATCATCAAAGAAAGGTGTACAATCCTGCTTATATATAAATGAAACAGAGAACACATTATCACATATTCACAGTTAAACCAAAAACAGGAGTAAGAGCTGCATCATAAAACAGTCAAGAGCCACTCATCCTATTGCTTTGGTAGATTTTGTAGAATATTCTCAAGAGTCAGAAGTCATAACTCAGAACACTAAGGATGATTTTTTTTCAAATATAGTGCTGTATTAAGAAATTTTACATACGTGATGATCCTAGACAAAGAAAACCCCTTTTTTGGCCAAAAGACAAAGATAAACCCTAAATCCCTAATAACTAATTCAAATTGGAATGTTCCCCCTTCGGGGAAAAGGGAGCAGCATCCTTGGCAAAACTGTTCAAAATTGACATGGTGTAGGAGAACTGAGACACTTCCTTAAGATACAAAAAGGAACTTTGCGGTTACCAGCCAGTGTTGTCATCATATGTAAACATCTGATGAGAGTTAGTTATCCTCTCCTTCATTACCAGGTGGCTGGTATCAAGGAATAGCTGTGGGATAAGGATACCTGTTGTTTGACATGATTTCTTTGGCTTAGTATGATCTTCACGTTCCAAAATCAGAATTGTTTGATGAAGTTAAAGATTTCTCATGCAAGTAACCTCTTGGATGTCTCCAAGTTAGTTTATTCCTCGGGCAAGATTAAAGGACATTGTAGGTGTGTTGTAAGTTTCGGCTCCTAGCCGTCTGAGACTTTTCATTTCCACACCATCATCTGTAGGAGATATTTATCGCAGAAATATCTAACATACCCCATGGATTCAGTAATCCAGGTAATCTTAATTCTTAATCCTGGCATTACCAATGAAAATATCAAGTAACGCACTTGATGGGTTACTGGAAGTACACCATTTCCCAGCATGCAAGGAGCACGAATCCATTTTTCCAAGCCCAAGTACCGCTTATTCATTTTTTCTCTCAACTACCTCTCAACAATAACTAGCATGCAAAATTATATTTATCTTTCAACAAGTTCATTTAGAACCTCAGCAATATAGAAGTTGTCCATATATTGATTGGAAATTTTACCACAGTGCTCATGCTGAGACAGACATGGGATGCTTGACCCTGGCATAAATATCAATAGAATGGACCCCATTTTTTTCCATAAAATGTCATATTTATTTGAAAGGAATGCCATAGATTATTTCAGAAATGGTTGAAAGCCACCTCACAGAATACATAAGATGGTGCCCACAGTTGACCCATTGAGTCTGTTTATAATCGAGCCATGCTCATTCAAATATGGCATAGCTGTACTTGTAAGGTTAGGACATCTATGCCCACATGAAATGAGAAATGGAACTGTGCCTCCTCTTGTCATAATATGCAACATATCTTTTAATATAAACCATATCAATAAATGATAACTACATGACACACTTAAAAGAGGAAATATAATCGCAATAATGAAATGACATGAGGAGAGATTGAGGGGTAAATAATTAGACATACAAGTTGGGCATTAAGATCCTTCAATGCTTGGCCATCTTCCCAGGTCTCGGATATGACAGTTCCAGCTCTACAATTCAAAATCAAACCTTAAGAAAACCAATAACTAAAAAGATTATCAAACTCTTTTGTATTTCCATGATCCACCTTTACCTGATTACACCAACATTTCCCAGTCTCAATGAGTCTTGTCGTACTTTCAACCTTGCTTCTTGCCTCTCAGACTTTGAAACTGATATCAGCAAATCAGATATTATTCTTGTCCTCTGCAAAATAAAGGATCCAAAATAAAATGACAGGTTTCACTGAGTCATTGGAGCTTAGTGGAAAACAACATCAACCAAATTTATATGATGCGGGTGGGTTGCAGAGGGGTGGTCAGCAGTAAGGACTTTTCTTTTTAGTTCATTCCAACTATAATCAACTTAACAACCTCAGAGTCCTTTTACATTGCTTCATGCTATTGATGAATCAATGGAATATTTTCAGTCCAAAGTTGAAGCATTTAACATTTAGAGGCTAATGGAATTCTCCTTATAACCTGCATTCAAAATATATCAAGTCTCCATGTTAATTATCATCTGATGACTGGAATCTGTTTTGGCTGTTGTACTGCTGAAACATTAGGATAGTTATGGTGTGCGTTAGCTCAATTAGGATAGTTGTACGTAATATGCTCCCAACTTCATTAAACAACAATCACTTTGATAGATCCAAGAACTATTTTAAATGAAACAACGATACTGTGCAATCAAATGCTATAGTAGTCCCACGATTCATACCTTAGGCTTCATTTGCTGTTCATGATCTTTCAGGTCCTTTAGCTCCTGTACAAGCCAAAATTAAGCAGCAAAGTAACAGAAAATAATTACATCAAATTCAAGGAATGAAGTTTCATAAATTTTCAAAGATTTTTCACCTATCCATATATATATCAATGTATTTCATTATCTAAGGCCGCTCATTCATGTACCTTTTCTAACTGGCAAGAAAGATTCTGATAATCAGACATCTCTTGTTTTGATTTCCGCAGGTCCTCCTCCAATGCAACAACTTTTTCACGTAAAGATGCATTTTCCTCCTAATTTAAAATAACAAAAAGGAAAAGAAGGAAAAAAGATTTTAAATCTGAAATCGTAAAGGTCCTAGTGCATCCAATAAAACTTAAGGTGAAAATCTAATTGGTGAAAATCTAAAGGTGTTTTCTATCAGGTTTTCCAATCATAATATGTGGAAGGATTTATAAAATCATCATTAAAAAAGGTCCATTATGAAGTGTTGAATTGATTGTATGCACATATTTATGCTTTTACTCGAAAAACTTAACAGAAGTTAATTATAAAACTGCAATTAGCAGCAAAGCATAAAACTAACATATAAGAATTTTAAGAATATGGCAAAGGAGACAAATGAAATAGGCCTAGCAAGCATCAATTACTTTGTATGCAAAGACATGTCTGCTTTTACTTCTCAGAAAATTTACAAATGGCAACTCAAAATTTTAGCAGAAATCAGACCTCTAATGAAGTGCAATTGTCATTGCGAATCTGATCTTTGAGTCTTCCCTCCTACAATAAACATGAGTTCAGAGAAAACAGTCAGCCTAGTGTACAGAACAGCAACAAATGACCATTATGTTTATGAATTACTTAAGTGACATGTCTCCAAAAATTTATGAGACCATGATGCTAAATGAAGCAACCCAAATGTCAAACCATCCTCATCAAAGGGGGGAAACAAAAGGGCAAAAATAGAACTAGACTTATTAAACATAACAATCCCCTACTTCATCTTTCTCCATAGATCTATCACTAGAATTCACTGGAGGAGTAACAAGTTGTTTTCTTAGGAATCAAGTTATATCTTTGTGAAGTTAGTTCCAATTTTGCCCACATACCACCAAGTACCCACCATGTTGTCATCTGTTCTGTTAAATAAAAATGATGAAATTTGTTATATAGTATATACTATTCAGAAACACTGCAGAGATGGAACCACCAAAGAGACCCAGAAAAAGTTGGTTATTAAAATTCCATTTTCAATACATGCTATCAGTTTATAATAACATTACCAATAACCTGACCTCGTTTGCAGTCATATTAATCCTGCTGGAAAACAAATGATCAAACAAGCAACTTCTTGTACTTGATTATGATTACTTTTAGATCCTATATGGCTACATTCAAAATGATTTTTAAATCTTAAGAAAGGAAGAAAAGGACTGAGCAAATAATTGGCACCCAATATCAATGCAATTAAATTTCCTTTCATCTCCAGCATACACATTATATATATATATAGAGAGAGAGAGAGATCATTGGTCCAAAAATATAGAAGTTTCAACCTCAGACCAAAAATATGAACATGTAAGAGATGCCAATTCCTATAATGCAAGCAATTATGTGTGTTCAAGTGATATAGATGAAGAAATACTGCATGATAAACAATATTTTTAGGAAAAAATCAGAGCAAGTGATGTACTCTATGGCTTGCATTGTCAAGCTGACCATTCGGGGCCAAAACTGCTGGAGAAGAAATTTGTGCTCTGGTCTGATCAGTAACTCGGGAACCACGTCCCCTGCCCGAACCAGAACCCCCTCTTCCACGAACATTTTTTTTCCTATTCACATCAGCACTAACTTTTGCATCCATAACATCTAAACTAGCTAGCCTTCCATCAGTAACTACCTGGTATGCAAACTTCTTGGTCAGAAAACAGTCAAAAAGTCATTTCTGAGGTAAAGAGTATATCCAACAAATTGCCAAAGCCCCCATAATACAGGTACCACTAGATGTAAGCAGAATAAAATCGAGAAGTTGGCCAAAAAGAAAGCAAAATACCCTGTGAGTTCCATACTTTTATAAGAGATGCAGCTATTCCATAACTAAAGCATGCTGAGTCTTCAAATAAAAACTAACCTCAACATGTTCAAAAATCTTGGAGTGGTCACCTTCTTGAAGTTTTTGGCGCTTCTGTGTGTTAGCTTGTATAAGGAATTCCCCACCATTCTGGAATAGAATATGAAGACAATTTTTGCATTCAATTTATCTAACACAAATACAGATATTTACAAATTTCCAGATTGTTAACACGTTCATCAGCAATCAGTCTTCTTTCTAACATAATAAAAGCAACTAAGCACAAATATACCCTATGAGTTGAAGTCAATTGTCTAGACAGATAAAAAACAATATTTTTGGGGGGGGGAATAAGTAAAATGCTCTATATTTAGTGCCAAATGTCCTCGTTTGAATAATTAGAGCACACTTATTATTAGATCCCTCATAGATGCCAATAATTTGGTAACATAAAAAACAAAGGATTCGAATTTGCCATATGCAAGCTGTCACATGCATAAATGTATTCAGTCATAGAATTTCTTTTGGCCTTTTCTTAATATGACAATAAAATCTCATATCCAGTATCATAAGTAACTCCACACCAGATTCTTCTATAAAGCATGATTTGTCAGACCATTCATCATCTACCTCACGTATTTAAAAGTACAATTACCCAGCAAACATAGGTATGAAATTTTATCCAACACAAAACCCTCCCTTGCCCCTTCTTTGTTTCTACACAATCATCTCCGAATATTGTTTCTATCTTCAAAGCAGATTAATCACTGGAAATCAGTAATGAAATGATAAATCAAAGCAACATTATTTAAAGTTTAAGCTACAATGAACTCAACCAACTAACTAAAAGTATCAGCAACATGTCCTAAAGAACCATATATCATTTAATCATATTTCAATTTCTGAAAATCATTCTTATTCTTAATAAAGTTAAATCAAGTTACCTTTTACCTTCATTCTAATTTGTGAGAGTCAAAAAGACCTGTCAATTCAATTCCACAACTAAAGCAATGAAAGCTACATAGACAACTGACCCCCAGATCAAATCTAATATAGCTGAGAAGAATTTACAGCTAGTGATTTATCAAGATGCATTCCAAAAAAGTATCAACAATTTTTTAAATACCACAGTGAAGATAAAAATGAGAACTTGAACAGGTCACAGCACCATACAATGTTACATGATAAGTAAAGCAAATCGCCACTTCCCCATCAATTAGCAGCACAGGCAAATGTGACAGCAAGGAAAAATCACTTTTCAACCATATATTGCAGAATGTCAATCTCAGAAAGCCTAATGCATATGCATTATAACGTTTGGGAGGTGTCTGTGACCAATATCTATTGATACGATATCTTACAATATCCTATTTTTTTGTCATTATAACCTTGGACTTTACCCAACCTTTTCCTCTCTAAAAAATCTCAGGTCCGATCTCCCATAGGTCCATTGAGAATTTTAACGGAAGAGTGCTCCAAAGAGGAATTAAACACGGATTGTTAAATAAAGATGCTTTCTGTAGCAACCAACAAAGCTTACTTCATTGTGTACCACAACCACACATCATAGACTGCAATGTAAACATCAATCCATTGCATTGAATTGGATTAAGGTAGCCTTACATCATCATCGGAATCACTCGAAGTGGAGGGTCCAGCCAGATCATCGGAAGGTCCCCCGAATTTTGCAGCTGAAGGAACTGAAGACCAAGTTGACTGCTGGGCAGACGAAAGAGTGGCGGCAACTGCGGACGAAGCCTTGCCCACCATTCGAGCTTCAAGCTTTGCAATCTTAGTAGGTAATGACTGATCCGATTGGTTGGAAGAGTTGGACGAGAAATGCACTAGCATGTCATCCGACATTGTTGCTGCAAAAAATGCCGAGTCAATGATGTTCCTCGGATCATTCTAGGCAAAATAGAATATCTAAAGAAAACTCAACCCCTTTGAATTAAGTGTCAAGCCATAATAAAATGTCCCATACACGTTCATAGTCAGAAAGCAAAAGTTGCCGATTGCAGGAGAAGCCCCATAGAAATTTAAGCAAAGGAAAATCAGAGAAGCAAAAATCAGAATGTCAGAGGTAACGGGTAAGAAAACAAAAGGAGAGATAGGGGATGAGATAGAAAGCTGGGGGCAAGGGGGGGAGATGATTGAACGGAGAAAATCTAGGGTTTTGGTGTTTGGTAAAGAGGAAGAAAGAATCCAGACAAAAAGATTTATTGGGAAAATTATTGAAGTAAGATGAACACCAGAGAACCAGAGGTACGAAAAAGGCTGCCCCCCCCCCCCCCTCTCTCTCTCTCACAGTTGGATTTTGAATTTGTCGTGGGCACTTTGGGACAGAAGAGAGAAGTTTCTATGGGATATGGGACTGTGGCAAAAGTCTACATGAGGACTCAGGAAAGAAAATGGAAAGACTTGAATTGCGGGGGTTGAAGAAGAAAGTGCTTACCTAGTGAGTGAGAAGGTACTGTGAATGTGATGATGACTGCCCTTCCATAATTTTTCCTTCAAAAACCACTCCATGGTATCAAAGGACCTCAAAGAAATAGGCATAATTGAGGGCCACATGAATTACACTTGACTGCCAAAAAAAAAAAAAGTTTGAGGATTCTCCAAAATCAAATCTACACAAGCAAGGAAGGTCTCCGAAAAAAGTAATACTTTAGCCCAAAAACCAGAGAGAGAGACAAATTGGTTAGATTTGCATTAATGCACCAAATACAAAATTAATGTGGGAAGTCATTTTTTTAATTAATGCATCTAATAAAGTTATTAATTATTAATACATAAATATAGTTTGACTCAACTGATGTTGATCTAAACTCACAAACTCTAGGGGACTTGGGTAGTTAAAAATCTCATCATTTTTAAATAAATGGTTGAGAATTTGAATTTAAATACATGATTGAATTTGGATCAAATTTTAATATGTGTAACAATTTATTATCCAATGAAGAGTGGACTATATTTTCACTAGAATATACCTCTTGTGCCTCACCAAAAACATTAACCCAAGTGCTATTTGAATGAAGGAAAAAAAAAACAAAAGAAAAGGCGTTCAAAAAAAAGTTCGTTCATCAAAGACCATTTTTTAATCAAAAGTTTGATAAAAGTTAGTTAAGGAAGAAATGGGAGGGGAACCAAAAATAAATTAGCAATTTTATTCCTATCAAATTTTAGTAGTTGGTGATGAACATGAGGGATAGGAATATAAAAGCTTAAAAATGATGTGTTTATGTGATATAAGTAGAAATAAAACTTGATACTTACTTGGGTAGCATGGAATCGTGAACCCAACATGTGATTGTGTTAATCAGTCTATTGAGGGACTATTCTATAGTTTGTTAAGGGACTAGAACCTAGCTATCTTCACTAATTTATCGAGGAGATTAGTTTAGGACATATGACACCCCAGAGATTCAAGAGTGGAGGAAGACATGGTCCAAAAGTGAGTCATGTGATCTTTAGCCAGGTCACACCTCACAATTGGTGAGCTTAGGTAGTCTAATCATGCGAACAGAATCCTATTTAGTTTTATAGCCACGATTTTAGTTAGAGGAAATAAGGAGGGTATAAGGTCAGTTGATCATTGTCTATGTAAATTTTTAACATGTCACATGATTGTGATACGATAAGTCAGGTGGATATTGGGTCATGGTCTCGAGCCTGAGTGTCTTATGACAATGTACCTAGTGTATGTGAAATAAAGGTGATTTAAATAAGTAATAGTAAGTTATGATGTATGTGTAAGCATGTTTTAAGAATTTGGTTTTATATGCATGTGTTTTTATTGCAATTAATATAAGGTAAGTTTTATTTTGGTTACTGAGTAGCTAGACTCACCCTTTTCATTTAACACTTTACAAGCTCTAGCTCTAGTGCAGAGAGGTAGAGAACTCAAGAGGCTAGGAATTAGTTCATTCCTACTGTATGCCTTTAGTTTATGTTATTTTGTGTAATAGAATATTATTGCCAATCATAGGTTGCATATTGTTGCACTTGCACTATTTTATTGTTGCAATTATCCAAATTGTATTTTGAGCCATAAGTAATTGTGCACGAAGAGAGATATATGTTAATAGTGTCAAAATACTAGTGTAAGTGTAGAAATGATGTTTTAAATATGTTACAATAGCTTTTGATGTAATGCAAAGCAATTTTACCCATTTTTGCTTTTGGTGAAAAAGGGGGTTACAGAGTGATTTGTGTTATATTGATATTTAAGTATATGTGATGTGTTGTATTGATAATTCTAGGTCTAATGGATATGATTTGGGTATTATAAATAGCTTTTGGCTCATGTTATCGGTTTTAGACACCCTTTTTATGTGAAAGTTATAAAAAGTGGTAAAAATGTGTTTGGATGTCCAACTACTTAGTGTGACTTATTTTAAAGTAAAACTCATGTTATTAGCTACTTTATGAAAAGAACTTTTTATAAACGCCTAAATCATGTCATTTGAATGTCAGATGAAGAATCGGGACGTGTCGAAAGTTTCTCAATTTTGCTACCAAATGATAGCAAAATGCGTGCAACACGTCGTGGCGCATGGGCGCCTAAGCCACGGTGCGTGGCACAGAGAGCAACACTCTGCAGTATAGCATGCACTAGCTATGGCGCATTGCCCTGTTAGATAATAAATATGTTGTTTTTCAACTAGTTTCATTCTTCTTTACTCCTTTAAGGTATCACATGTTTCTGTAACTTATTTTTACTCTGATATAGGAGTTTATGATTGAGTTAAACTCATTTCAATTATAAAAACTTGGGATTCCTTATTTTGAAATTAAAACTTGGTGATCTCCTAAATGGTTAATCATTTAATTACCTTGAGTTTGTTTGGTCAATTATGTTTAGTAGTGAGGTTATTACATTAGAATATTTAGAAACTCGCTGCAACTATGCCTTTCATGGTGCAACTCCTAATAAATCAAACTTACTTTACATCTAGCAACATAGCTTGATTGAGGATAAAGAAGTTAGGAATTGCTATTAAAAATTTTTTTTCCTAAAACCTAAGAGGGATGAATTTTAGAAACCATCATCATTGAACTTTTTAAGAATGGACATTGATGGGCTAGTTAACTTTAGGGGACACATGGCATGTGTAGGCATGTTGAGAAACCATTGAGGTGAATGGCATTTAGGCTTGCAAAAAAACCTGGGAGCTAGATCCACTAAGAAAGCTGAATTTGAAGCTATTCTAGCTGTACTTTGATTATGCAAAGACCATCAATATATCAATAAGGTCAAGTTATATACTAATTCACTTGAAGGTTTAAATTTAATTATGCATACTTGTGACCCTCATCACCCTTTGAAGTCTCTAGTTTATTATATATGAAGTAGCATTTGTCACTTAGAAGAGATTGATATCACCATCATTAGTCGGGCTATCTCGTACCCTAACAAAATAACATTAGAATTAACTTAAATGTATCATCTAGGTCAACCCTAAGTCTTTTCACAAGGAGGTGGCCTAAGCTTCTTAATCAAGAAAACTAAGTGTATAGATTAACATGACTGATTCAATTTGTGATCCACTAACATCGTGAATTAAACTTGTAACCTATACTAAAGTGTGTGAGATGGAAATTCCCTTATCAAGTAAGGACCTTAGGAAATTGCAAATGGAATAATCTTTGCTTTTAAATAGATTATGGCAGCTTACTCATTCTTGTCCCCTTGGACTAAAAAGTGATTAACCTAGACAACTTTCTTAAGTAACCTAACTTAACTAATTTAATTCCCTAAGATCTTAATATAAGTCCTTAGGTTATTTCATTTGCCTAGCGTAATAATTGACCAGGTGTTTTGTTGAATTCTCCCACTAATAGCCATGATTTCTAGATTTCCAAAGCATATCAAGTTAGCAATCTTGTCTTATTACAATTATTATCATTCAACTATGATTCTAAAGCCAAAATGAATAACAATTCAACTATAGTCATAGTACACCAATTTAAATGAAACAAAATGAAAATTAGAATGATCTTCAATATTCCTCTTCTATCAACTCCTTCTTAAGATTCCATTGTAAATTTAACTAGAAATCATCATCATCTTGCTCTCTAATAACTCCTACAAGCCAAGTTGAGCTTCCATGGAAATGATGAATCAAAGCTTTAATCCTCTATTAAAAATATTAGGGATATGGTGTGGAGGATGAGAGGAAGAGAATGGTGGAGTAGTTTTGTGAATTTGATGGTTAGAAGTGGGAAAATGGTGGCTACTATTTGGATTTATGTGAATGAGAAAACGAAGAACTATAAAGAATAAGTGAGAGAGATGGAATAAGTGTGAAGTGAATGAATGTTTGATCTCAAAATTATGTGTGTATTCAGGTGTAGATGGTTTTGGATCAGCCTCTAATTGAATAAAATAAAAGAAAATAAAATAAAAATGCAAGTAGATCCAAGTCACATGGAAGAGGCTTGTTTGGTGGCATACTCTTCTTAGCTTATAGATAATTTAAAAGTATGTCAACTTAATCCCACGCCTTATCCATAATTTAATTAGATCTACCCCATCCAATGAAAGCAAAACACGTCCAAAATGAATCAAATTTAATTCCTTAAAGCTTTGACCTCCTTGCCTAATTGATACGTATGTGCACATTTCATCTATGTCACAAAATACACATAATTCAATTTAATAAAATTTGACATCATAAAATTTAATTAAAGTGTAGCTTTGTATTCATATTTAGGAGGAAGAATTTACTAAAAATATCCAAGCATTAGGTGCACAAAATTATTCAAAATCCACACATATATGCAAACTCAAAACCAAGTAAAATGAACATACTTAAGATATTGCAACCTAGGATTTGCATTCTTTTATTATACTTATGTTATAAGCATGATTTAACTATTGTATTTTAGGTCCTAGAATTGTTTGTAAGTAAATTTGATTATTACTAATAGAGCTAAAATATTTGTGTAAGTGTAAAAATGTTGAAATGTTATAATTGTAAGATTATTTGATTTAATACAATGCTAAACCTCCCCCTTGCTGTTTGGTATTAAGGGGTCAATGATTGAAAATGAGATTTTATTATTATTATATGTATGTGGTATATGTAAAGGTTGTCCTAAGTCTATTGAGTAAAATTATTTACTTAGTTTTTGACTTAATAAATTCATTTTTGATTGGTTTTAGTAAAATTTAAACTTGGGATCCCAATTATTGAAAGAAATACTTTTAGTTTTCAAATTACTTTTAAATAGCCAACCATGACTGGGTAATCTACTTGAAGTAATGCCAATAATTATCGGTGATGTGTTTGATAACAAGTGGATTAGCAAGAATGACCTTACATTTATCATTAGAATCAAAAAATAGTCTGGCTATCCACTGTTGGAATCAAGAAGTAGCCACTATTTCACTATTTATTAAGGGAT